AATCACACTGTTACTCTACTGAAATAATGAGTTAAGCTGCATAGAATGAACGTACTGTTGTGATGAAGCAGACTAATAAGTGTATGCATTTGCCTCTGGCTTGCAAAATTCAGTACATTTTTCTTACAAACAGAACTGGATTTGGGAAAGATTGTGTTTTAAGTTTGTGCTTTTACATATTAAAGTATTACAGTACCCTTTAAAAATTATGATACAGAACAGAAATGGGTTGTTGAGACAAATAGAAATGCAGGCATTATTTGCTTGAGATAATACAGTCTCAAGTGTGACAATTTGGCTGTAACTAATGATTTTGATTCTAAGGTAAATTTCTTTTTTGATTGAAAAAGTTGTGACAACAGTGCTAAAGGTGAAAGCTGTTAACATTTACAAAGTACAAATTTGAAAAGTAACTTGATTTGACCACGTTAAATAAAAAGCTATTGGCATTTTCACAGAAGGTACCTTCTGCTGAACTGAGCTCTGACTGTAATCTTGACCCTGGCTCCTATAGCACTTAATAAAAATAAATGACTTGGCAAATTAAATTTGCTGTGGTAATTGCTCGTTTGCTTGCATAGCTTCCAGTATGTATAGTCACAGAATGGTACTACCTCATTTCCAATGTAAAAGTCATTTTTGATAATTTAATAATATAAACTTTTTGTAATGAACTGGATTTTGTAAGTTTTTCCTTTGTTCCTATTGACATGTATGGGAGATATTACAGTTTGATCTTTGCTACTATTAAGCAATTAAATGCACATATCTTCCCAAATATAATGGAACTCTTGTTCTTAACTAATCTATCTACAACCCACCTACTTATTCCATGTTCTGAAGAGTGGAGTCTCCTGTATTATATATGGACTGACTCCAACTCAGTCATTTAATTCTAGCTGAGATACTGAAATGCAAGTGAGCTTGGTGTAGGGATATATGTGCTGCCTGGGTATGAGCCAGGACAAGCCCAGAGGAAATCTGGCCATGACTGTGTTGTCATAACCAAGGTAATTAGCTGTATTAGCAATCAGGGCTCATTACTCTGGACTCAGTGTTGCACTAGCTTGTCTGGACTGTACCAGAACGAGCTGGTAAGCTTCCAGACCTTGCAGTTTTGCACCTTTTGTGTTACCACAACGGAATTATGCTAGCTTTGACAGCTCATCGTGTTCACATCGTAGCCTTGCTTGTACTATGCATGGAAGCGAGGGAGGAAAAACCATGGTCTAAACCCACACACATACACACACACTCATACACAGACACAAACATATATATATATACACATATATGTTTGTGAAGATAGAGGTGCTTGTGTCTATGTGTATGTGTGTATGTATATATGTGTGTCTGTAAATATATATGTATTGCTGAAAACGTATATCACTGAAAATCACTTTCCCATTAAGACCTGCCCAGGGCCAGCACACTTCACTTAGATTGCAGGGGATTTAGGGTGGGAAGGAGAGTCTCTTTTAACGTCTGTCCTGACTATCCTGCCTTATCTACTGTTTGCACTGCTAGCTGGAACTAATGGTGACACCTTTTCTCTCCTACAAATGCCTTACTCTTTTAACATGTCTCTCTAAAGTAGTTTGTGAGGATACCATTTTAAAAACATAGGCCTCCGTGGAAAATAAATCTTTTTGTGCTGATTGATTTCCTGATATATGTTCAAAGACGGCACTTTTTCTAACAGCATGAGAAGTGTTTTTGTTTTCCTGTTTGAATACTGACTAGTGCAGAAGCTGATACACACTCCTAAGGAGGTAGGTGGAAAGGCAGAACAAAGATGTCATTTCTGTGCCAAGAAACCTGCAACTAGAGCTCCTTCCTTTTCTCCTGTGATTACTGTAGCTTCAACCAAAAACTCGTCACAAGCTTCCTCTTATTTCTGAAAGAGGAATAATTAAATTTGCAGCAGTCTCTTTCCAGAGTGATTACTAGATTAAAGAGCTGCTGTAATTGAGCCCACAGCCATCGAGCAGTGTTTGCCAGCAGCACCTGAGAAGGACAAGGCTTCCCCTGTTTGTAACTTGACTTCATTGCTGCCCCTGGGGAGCTTCTAGCAAGACTTGCACAAAATGAACTTGCAAAACATCAATAAGGATTTGTTTCCTAGGATGAGTGCAGAAGGTATCTTTTATTGAAGATACATGTCTCCAGAAGTGTGAAAAACTCGTTCTGGAATACAAGGCCGCCTAACTTTGGGCTTAGGCAGTTCTGTGTTTGGCTGTGACTTGTGGGCAGGAACGAGCAGCGCATGGGGGTTCTTTTCCAGCAGGGGTAAAGCTGGCGTTAGGATATGTTACAAGAAACCAACAGCATTTTATGTCTTCCATCTAGTTTAAGGTAGGTCTAAGCTCCTTGTATAATCAGTGGGTAGAAGTGAATGCTTCCAGACCTCCTCAGATTTTATTCACTGCAGTAGGGAATCCATCTCACCTTTCATTATGTTATGCCAGTTATACTGGAAAACCTTTTGGAGTTGCCTATACCTGTCTTTTGATTCCTGAGAGCAAGCTGGCTGTACATGTGAGTACCTCTCACTGAAGTGCCTAGAGGTAGATGGAACTGAATGCAGGTTAGATTCCATTCATCAGTACAGAGAGACCAGGGTTATGAGAACAAGATTAAGCTTGGGAAAGTGTGCTAACCTTCAAATACAGTTGTTTAAAAGAAACATGTATTGGTTTTGATAATATTTTTATCTATCTTTAACTGTTAGCACATTCATAACTGGTTCTAGTAGGTATTATGTGTTTTAACTTCTAGAGGTTGGTCGAGTCTTTGTCCACCTTGAGAATTTTAGAAGACCAATATATGTTTGAATCTGCACATTTCTTTGCAGATCTAATATTCAGTCCTGCAGTCCCCCCAAAAGTAGAACTCTCATCAAAGTTATGAGATGCATAATGTTATAAAGTTATGCATAAAGATGCATAAAGTTATGTATGCACATTTTAATAAATGAATAACATTTTTGAAGTGGAACTGAAAGCCTCTCCATCTACCAAAGACAGACATTTGGCAAATTTGTCTTTCATCCTGCCAAGGTTAAGACCTTGAGAATGCCCAAATCAGTATATGGATCTGCATTATTGTTCAGTAAATACATGCTGTTCAATCGGTTTTTTGGAAAATAGGATTTTAGTTTTAGTAGGTTAAGTAAGGAGTTAGCTGTTTTCACCGGTGTGGAATATTAAGAGGTTTTGTCTGCTTGTTTGTTTTTAATCATTTATTTTGTCAGTTGTGAAATACAGAAAAAAATCTTGAAACCAGAAGAAAAAAAATCTGTTTTACAAAACTTCAGCAGTAAGTCCTGTACGTATGCCAAATTCCAAAATACATAGGAACTGATGCCTTTTTCCGTCAGGTGAAGTTTTGTCTGAGTAGCAATTCAGTAACTATTTTATATTACTCCTGGCTAGTATTAAATAAAATCTTGTTTTACAATATTCAGTTTTCTACAAAAATAAATAAGCAGTCTAGCAGAGGGGAAATCATGGTTATACACTGTGTCGTCAGGCAGATTGACCTCTAGTCATTCAGAAAAGCCATTTATTATGCAAACCTCTCCAAATCCTCTATAACACAGTTGCTTCATAATATTTGTTTTTACTCAGTTGTAGTCAGAAGCAGGTTCTTCAGTTCCAAAATAGTAAGTGTATTGTAACAGAAGTCATAGATTTTGCAGTATACGTATTATTTTAGCAGAATTGGACTGTATCATGAAGACATTGGGCCCAACTTGAATTTACCTTTAACAAAGCTTTGTATCTCCTCTTTCATGTAACCTATACCTCTTCTATATGCTAAGCATAGCTCTGTAGCACCATAAACTTTTGAAGTCATTTGAATTTGCCCATGCATTCTGGTGAAAGGGAAAAATTCACAGCACCACTGATAGAGCAGAGCTAATTCCTATGGTCTTTGGACCTAAACCTAGCTGACCATATGCTCTGTGGTCATTTCAAGCATGTTTTTGATATTTTAACATTATGACTATAATAGATTCATATCATGCAACTTAAGAAAAATCTAAAGAGAAGGAAAGAGGACGGTAGATAGCTACCTTGAGGAAGGTAGGTATCATTTCTACTGCACAGTGGGAAAACTGAGGCACTGCCAGTGGTCACATAGGTGTGTTTACATTTATGTCCAAAACAGGGAGGGAAAGGAGAGCAATGGAGAGCTCTTACACTCTCAGGCTATATCTAGGCTATGTGTTCAAGCGTTCTTTACTTTGCAAAATTGCCAAGGATAGAAAAGCTGAAAGGAGGGAGGAAAAAATAAGATAAAATTTTGTCTGTATGTGGAATATCACTTATCTTCCTTTGCTTTTTGCTCCTTTTTTTTTTCCTTATAAGCTGTTGGACTTTAATAATAAGATAAAAGACTGCTCACATTCCACTGAAATGAACCAAGATTGATTTTGTTTTAAAAGTTGGATGTAGGTAACTACAATTAAGTCTTTGCCCCTTTGGTTAGCTAGGAAAACCTTTGAAAAAGCAGCTCCAGTTATGTATCATGTTCCAGTCTGGTTTCAACAGCGGCAATCTGTGAGAACATTCTATTTAAGGTTTCATTATCTATGTTCACCTTTGTCTGTTTGCACTGAAGTGAAAAATGCAAGGAATTTTCTGCCTTGTGCATAGGACCCAGCTCAAATGAGTTTAATGAGATAACACACTTGTTTTTGCACACACACTCATACCTACTGACACACAAAGTTCAAAGTGCAGGAGGCAAGGAAAAGAGCATGATGCAGGTAAAACAACCACTGCCCAAAATAAGCCAACAAATCCTCAAAATGTAGCCTTGTGTTAAGTTGAGAATCATAAGTAAAAATTCTAACGCTTTTTTTTCTAAGTTTTATTTTACTCGCTGAAAAGAATGAAAGGCTTTCCACTCTCTAATGTGAATATTATGCTTTTTTTTTTCACTTTGAACATAAGATAAAGAACCATTAATGGACATTATTCCCCTTTCCCCAGAACCAACATTCTACTTTGGCGATGATGAATACTATGTTGATGAGAGCGCTGGCTATGTCGAGGTCCGTGTCTGGAGGACAGGAACTGATCTCTCTAAAGCTGCCTCTGTTACAGTGAGGTCTCGCAAATCTGAACCCGTAACTGCAGAGGGTAAGTTACTGTTTCACTCTAGTTTCATAACACACCTCAACCACAAATGCTAGGATATTCGATCACACTTGGATATAGGTTCAACAGCGTGAGATGGAATTCCTACACTTACGCTGAATATAAGCAGACAGGAGAGTTCATCTGCTCAGCTTATTTTCAGATAGGCCAAGTTGTGTACAACTTTATTGTTACAGCAGTGTCCTGGGAAATCTAAACATCTGCCTATAGCACGTCATTCTACATTTGTATGCTTTATCTTGAAAAAGGAAACTTAGAGAGAAAGTACATGATGACTTAATTTTTGAACCTTTACAGGGCTTTTTATTACGTGTGTTCAAGTCTTTATGTCATCCTAACTCTTGAATTTATTTTATTTCTGTGGGGGAAAAAAAAAACAAACAAAAACAAAAAACAAGCACACTGTCATGCAATAGGAATCTCGATTTATTGTGCCAGGATTTTAGCCTGGCCCTGGAGCAGGGAACCAAACTTCACAGCTGACATGGCTCCCAGGCTCTGGTCTGTTGGTCACAGCCTGGAAGCTCTGATGTGCCTGTCACTTCCAAAAGCTGTGAAGCTGCTTCTCAGTCTTGATAAGTGCCCATCAAATGATGGCCTTGCTCTAACCAACTTTTGTCAAATTCACAGAATTCCAGAAAAAAATATTTAAATTTCTGTGAATCTTTATTCCCTCCAAAGATTTGTTTCCAACAGCTCTGCTGCTGCTTAATCTCCCTGAAAATGTACATTAAAACTCATTCTTCCACTGGAGACCCAGAACCTGTACGGATTTGATTCCTGGACACGGTGTTGTGTCCTAATCAATATATGTTCGTTTGCTTGCTTCTCATTGGTTTGTTTTAGGTTGGCTTGGTTTGCTTAAAAAACAAAGCAAAAACAAACAAACAAGCAAAAGCAAACCAAACCTAGATAACACTGTCTTTAATGGCAGAACGCACTAAATCCTACCTGACAAGGTCAGGGAAGAATCTGATTCTTTTGGTTTCCATTCGTACTTGTTACACAATTCCTCTGAACAGTTAGCTCACTTTGTGCTTCCCTTTCTACATTAATTGCAAAATTTGCAGCTTCATTACAGAATAATTTTATTTTTATGCTTTATTTCCAGATTCTCTCTCAAGGCTTTATGCTTAGTTTCTGTTCTCACAACAAACTTTACTAATTTCACCTGAGTAATTTTGGATTAACACAGAAAAAAATCAGGCCTGTTTATATGACTTATATCACTAAACTAAAAAATGACTTAATCCCATTTTTTTTATTTTGTAGTCCATCTTATATTGTCAAGAGATATTTTTGCTTACACGAATTTTAAAATTTGGCAATTTTAAAAAATTGTATTTAGAGAAAAAAGAAATGTACCTTTTGTTAAAGTTAGCTGTCTAATCAGAGATATTTGTATTTTTAATTGTATGCAGTGAAATCTGATAATGTTCCATCTGGTTTCTCTTGGTAGCTGGGGTAGATTATGTGGGCATCAGTCGTAATTTGGATTTTGCCCCTGGAGTCAATATGCAGACATTTCGCATAGTTATTTTGGATGATCTTGGACAGCCGGTGTTAGAAGGAACTGAGAAGTTTGAGCTTGTGCTAAGAATGCCTATGAATGCTGCCCTCGGGGACCCAAGCAAGGCTACCATCTTCATTAATGACTCAGTCTCTGATTGTGAGTATTAATTATTTGTACCATTTAGCATTTATTTTACAATGTATTTCCATGCAGGAAGTGGAAGCCCACTGTGATTTTATATCTGATGCAATATAGCACAATACAATTTAAAATAATACATGGAAGATGTGATAACTTTTGCAGTCATATTTTATACATTTTTTATGTTTTTCTGCCCAGTGCCTAAGATGCAGTTTAAAGAACCTGTATATACAGGCAATGAAAATGATGGAGAGATTTCTGCCATGATATACAGGAGTGGGGATATCCAATACACATCCACTGTGAGATGCTATACAAGACAAGGTTCTGCTCAGGTAATGATGGACTTTGAAGAACGGCCTAATACTGACAGTTCCATCATCACATTCCTTCCTGGTAAGCTCTTGTTATTTTAGAAGCTTGTTGTTTTAGAAATATTTTATTTTTGTTGTTTGTAAGTCTATGCCATTCATTTTGTCAGGGGTGTAGGAATCATCCTTCTGATGATGAGACTGCTAAGCATAGCATTGGGATCCAGATACTCTATGTATTACATAAAACTTTTGTTTGCCTTGTAGAAGGCATAAGACAAGTCTCTCATTCCCAGGGTCTCCAAACATTCAGTGTGCACACACACATACGCACGTAAGTGTGTTCATTTGGACCAGAAGCAGCCTGCCCATGAACTTGGAGAGATGTGCTGTAGTACAGCAAGGTACATGATATTACCTTCATACTAATTGCAGGTGAGACGGAGAAGCCTTGCACACTTGTGCTTATGGATGATACTTACCATGAAGAAGAGGAAGAACTACGTCTAGTTCTTGGTACTCCAAGAAGTGATTCTTCCTTTGGTGCCTCTGTTGGTGAACAGAATGAGACCCTGATAAAGATTCGTGATGATGCAGACAGTAAGAAATCACTTTGTTACTATAGAATTGGTGTCTGGGAGTCTATTTGTGTATTTCTCTAAAAACATTTTTCCTCTAATTACAGAAGCTATTATTAAGTTTGGTGAGACCAAATTTAGTGTGAGTGAACCAAAGGACAGTAGGCAAGTAGCAGTGGTAAAAATCCCAGTGCTTCGTTTGGGAGACAGTTCCAAGGTTTCCATTGTGAGAGTTCATACAAAAGATGGGTCTGCTACTTCTGGAGAAGACTATCACCCTATATCAGAAGGTAAGAAAAAGCCCCTGCATTTACTCCAGTGAGTTTCATATCTTACCTTTTTTTTTTTATTCATGACTATTGTGTGATGTCTCAAGAATTAAATAATTTTGTAAATAAAATACCACAGCCACTAATATATTTTTCTATTCAAATTCAAAAGGCCATAGGAATAAGATGCTATTCCTTTCAGACTGAATTTGCAAAATACAGGTGTGCAATGTTCTGTCTGTAATTAAAAGTGGAGTCTTATTGTAGCTTGTGCAACCGCTATACTAATAAATGATAAATCTATAATGATTTGAAATGCACTCCACTGTTTTCGTAAAACTTCTAAACTGAAATTTGAAAAAGAGATTGTATTCATAGCATCCAATAAACAGTGGTTAATTAACCCAATAATTCCAATCTGTAGTAAAGTAACATTTGAGAAAGAGAAGGTAAAGCAAAATATAGGAATTATAAGAGTAAGATCTGTGTAGGACAGAATTGTCAGTAAGTAATGAGAAATGTATTTTGCAGTAAAGAAAAAAATGACTACACGCAACAAGAAGAAAGGCTAGAAAAGACTACCTAAGCTAGTGAAATGTGTTTCATGTGGGTCTTGCAAATGAGCTCCTCAGTTGGGCTCACACCTGCTAGGTCTGTCATATTTATATGTGTATGGCTGTAGTGATAGTGTAACTCCACTCCATGCACAAATTCAAGAAACCTGACGCTATCAACTCATCCCATCTTAACAAGAGATGACTGCAGAATAATTTGAGTGCATCTCTGATAAAGGCATTTGATGGGATCTGAACCATCAGTCTTCTGGAAAATGTTCCAGTTGTTCTGTTACGCTTTCGTGATCTCTGTAACAGATCCTGGATTACAGCTCCAGCTCATATGCTATAGGGTAAAGCATTCCCTGAGTTTCCTGCAGGTACTTCCCTACTGAGCCCAAGAACCTTTGGTTAGAGAGAACAAATGTTTCAGAATAGGCATCCAGTCTGGATTTCAAAGTACTGGAAGATTATAAATTTGTCTTAGTGTTTTATTTCATTGGTCAGTCCCTATCATTCTTTATAATAAAATTGGTGCCTTCTTTCCTATTTAAATGTATATAATTCAGTTCCCATCCACTACTGCTTATTATACCTCACTCTTTAGAGGGCAGAGCTCATTAATATTTGCTTATTAGTATTTTTTCTCTATGTTGGTGTTTACATATACAAATCAGCCTGTCACTTTTTGTAAGGATTTTTTTTCCTTTGGTCCTGATATAATTTTTATTTGTTCTTTCTGTGCCATCTGCAGTTACATTGCATTCTTTTAAAAATGCATCTGTTGTTTTTGTATCACTCTCACCCATTCTACAGAGAAATGTTAGTGGTTTCCCATTTTTTTTAGTAGCTAGTACATTCAAGAATAACAGTGCTCTTACAATACTGTTAGCTAAGATTGAATTTTTCTTCCACCATCACCTCAGAGGTCTTTTCAGCAATAATGCTTTTCAAAATATAGTACCTCTTTTTATAACTTCGGGTTTGTGCCTTATTTTTTGGTATATAGTGTTGGTATATAGTGTCTATAGTTTGGTATATAGTGTCTAAACCCCAACAACACTATTTATTTACTCTTCTATAAACTTACAGTCATTCACATATGTTACCAATAATGATTTAATAATTAGTCATATATCACTTTCAAAATATTCAGTTCCCTTAAATGAAATCCTAGTCATGGCAAATCTCTTTTATGGTGATGAGGTTACTCCATTTGCAGTGATTTTTGTGTGTGACTATTATTTTTAGCATCAATAAGAATAAACTAAATGAACTCATATGAACATTTGAAATTTGAAAAGTAAGTATTAACTGTGATATTTTATGGCTGAACCTAGAATTACACCAGACTGTTTTCATTAGAAGTTTTATTTTTAAGTATGTAATTACCTTTTTAGAAATTGAATTTAAGGAGGGAGAAACACAGCACTTCGTGGAGATTGAAGTTCTCTTTGATGGAGTTAGAGAGATGAGAGAAGCCTTCACTGTGCACCTGAAGCCTGATGAGAACATGGTTGCAGAAATACAGGTAAATAATTGATGCAAAATTTTCAACAGCAAAATCTAGTAAACAGATCTCTTTTTGTTTTTCAGCTCATAGCTTTATTGTTCCTATAAAGTTTATATATGCCATAGCTTCAAAGCCAAAGCAGATCATCCCAGCTGACACTGTGGCACCCGAAGTATTTTGTTCACATGTCAATAGGGTTCACTGAATGATAGAAACAATGAGAGTGTATATAGAACAGAACTCTTCAAGATATTCTTCCCGATAAATTTTCTTCATCAAATAAGTCCTAAAAACAAATGTCCTCTTGGACACACTGGCTATTCATAAGGTATAACCTCTAGGCTGCTAATTCAGCAATCATGTGAAATATACCAGTGTCAAAACAGTGTTAATGTAATGCATGTTGTGTAAACTGAAATAACCACACAATCTTATAATCTGGAATTATATCATACATACTTTTAACACAAAAATATTTTCTTCTGGTTCTCCACAAAATATCCTTCAGACTTTTTGGCCCCTCCATCAGGATCTCACTTCAAGAGGTCTGCCTCCAAGGTAGCCAGACAGAAAAGATACATCCCTTATTAATGATAAAAACACATTTCCACCAGTAAGTTTAATATAGTACAAATCAGAGTTCAACAATAGTACTTAAGTAATTCAATAATTCTGAGTCACAAGACGTTAAATGGTCTGTTATCTTCGGTTGTCTGAATAGAAAAAGTTACTTTTAAGGCTTGCATTTATCATCTGCAAAATGCTTTCAAATCTATATGTATACCCACGCACATATATATATATATATATTTGTATGCACAGACATACGGGTGTGAGTGTATATAATACATATATATGTATATATACATACACCCCCATATGTACATCTGTATACACATACACACATGTATAAATATATATGTGTGCATATATAAATACATACATATGTACATAAATATATATATACACGTATGTATGTATATTTATGCAAACACACTTCCCTGCTATTTGACCTTGCTTTGGGCAGGGCTGGGGGACCAGTAGATGTCCACAGGCCATTTCCAATCTCAGCTATTCTCCGATCCCAAAGACTCAATCATTGTTCAATTGCTTGGCAGTCTGAGTTTTATACCTTGTCTTTGGGACACTGTTTCAAAGACTAGACGTGTTCTGATCAAAGTCCAGCTAGAATATTTAAATGTTCCTAAAGATTTGTTTATGCCTCTTCGTTATCAGTCAGCCAAGGCCATTGTGTACATTGAAGAAATGAACAGCATGGCAGATGTCACCTTTCCCTCAGTCCCTCAAGTCGCTTCCCTTTTGATATATGATGATACTTCAAGAGCTAAAGACAGAACCAGTCCCATAGCAGGCTACCCTGTCATCTGTATCACAGTGAGTAACTGTGTAAAGATGGTATAAGATCAGGATGTGGATATGGATTTGTCTGATGGAGAAATGTGTGTGTTTTTTTTATTATCTGGAGCGATTCATATGGGAATTGCTGTTCATAGGAACAATGGGCTTATATATTGCCTATGAGATGTGGTAAAGGACTATTTCAAAGTAGGACACTTCCTTCATATAGTATTTTTCTCTACAGAGCTGAAAATAAACAGTTCTGTGTCTCTCATAAAGCAAATGCTTTTTTTGACCACGATAGAGTTGTTCCTTATAAAAGTATGTGCCATGAGAACTGTGTGATACCATTTATTTTTTTACTTTACACAAAATATTCATGTAAGCAATATGTAAAATAAAATGGTGTCTGATTTAAAACTATTTCCATCTGTCATTGCCTCATAAAAGGAAAAGCTGGCTTTTAATTTATCAAATAAGTTTAAGAAGTTATCCTTTCACAGTGAATAATTGGAAAACAAGCAAATCAGTAAATGCCAAATATAGCCTCAAATCTTGTTTGTGTTCATTACAGTTCCAGGTTAA